TCCCTCATTTCATTTTTGTTAAAGATTTTATTTTATTTTTTAAAGATTTGCTAATTTATTTGAGACAGAGAGAGGGAGAGAAGTATTCCATCCGCTGATTCACTCCTGAATGGCCACAACAGCCAGAGCTGGGCTGATCTGAAGCCAGGAGCCAGGAGCTTCTTCCAAGTCCTTGACATGGGTGCAGGGGCCCAAGCACTTGGGCCATCTTTCACTACTTTCCCAAACACATTAGAAGAGAGCTGGCTTGGAAGTAGAGCAGCTGGAATTCCAGCCCGTGCCCATATGGGGTGGTGGCGTGGCAGGATGGCAGCTTTACCCGCTGTACCACAATGCCAGTCCCCCTCATTTCATTTTTTCTTTAGAGTACTTTGTTATTTTCCAGTGTGAGTAGTTTAGATGTTTCCGAGTAGAAAATTCTTGGGTATCTTTTATTTGAGTTTAAGAGGAATTATCAGTTCCATGAGATACTAAGAAAGGCATAAATCACTTCTGTGTAGTCATTTTTCAGAATCCCTACGGGGTTGACTCCAGACCACCCTATGGATACCAAAATTCATGGATGGTCAAGTCCCTTATATAATGGCATAGTATTTTTATATAACCTCCATATACTTAAAATCATCTCTAGGTTACTTATAATATCTAACACAATGGAAATGCTATGTAAGTAGTTTTCATACTGCATTGTTTAGGGAGTAATAAGAAAAATGTCTTTATGTGTTCAGTACGTATACAGTTTTTTTCTGAATATTTTGATCCATGATTGGTTGAATCTGCAAATGCAGACCCATGGATATGAGAGGGCCAACCATACTTTGTTAATAATATTGCCTTGATTTAATGTCAAGATCTGCAAAGCTTCTTTAATGTCTTCAACAGGCTTGTTTTTTATAGTCTATCTTTACAATATTATTGCATAACTAGGCAGTTAAACCTGTTTGTTACCTTCCAAAATTGGTGGTTTATGTCTTATACTTCAACAACTGGAATTCTAGAAGTTAGAACTAGGTAGCATTTTATAATTCCTTTTCATTATTAGCAAGACAGTTAAGTGCCAAAATGCAGCAGTTCAGTTAAATGTAATTTAACTTGTCCAAAATGGTTAAAATTAATGCAGATTGTTTTGTGTCATACTAGTGTACAGATTTTTGTTGTTGCTTACTGTAGAGTCATAGTGATTGCCTTCTAAGTGACTTGAGATTTTTAATACTCAGATCAACATGTGTGATGTTTCTCTTGTCCAGATGCCACATGAGCAAATATTTGGCATTAAGACATGGTTCATAGTAATAGAATGAGGTATTGCAGCCAAATATGTTTCCACTTTAGTCAGAAGAGTTTTTTTTTTTTTTTTTTTTGGCAAATTATGCAGGAAATGCTTTGAATAATTTTTTGAGTCAACTTCTGTACAAATTTATTCTTTAAATTTTATGCCTGTTGCTTTTTTGTCTTTTAATCACCCCTCCTTTTTTTTTGTAGGAAGAGAAAGCCTTTCTTTTTTCCCTACTAAGTGATTTTGATTGAAAATGATAATTTGATAAAAGAGCATATTTGTTTAAGCAGGTTTCATATATTACTGGTTTAGGATTTTTTTTTTAAACAAGAGAATGGTCTCAACTAAAACCAAGTATCTTTGGAAATATTGTGACCTAGAGTATAAAATCTGTAACTTAAGATTTTATGATAGTCTGCTCAACTGCTAAATATATATGGGTTTAAACCATCAGAATAGGGGCCGGTGCCGTGGCTCTCTTGGTTAATCCTCCACCTGCAGCGCTGGCATCCCATATGGGCGCCGGTTCTAGTCCCAGTTGCTCTTCTTCCAGTCCAGCTCTCTGCTGTGGCCTGAGGTGGCAGTGGAGGATGACCCAAGTGCTTGGGCCCCAGCACCTACATGGGAGACCAGGAGGAAGCACCTGGCTCCTGGCTTCAGATCGGCTCAGTGCACCAGCCGTAGTGGCCATCTGGGGGGTGAACCAGTGGAAAGAAGACCTTTCTCTCTGTCTCTCTCTCTCACTGTCCACTCTGCCTGTCAAAAAAAAAAAAAATAGTATAATACCAACATATTGTATATTGACATAATATTGATGATTGAATTTTAGAAGGAAAAAAATCTGGATACCATTTTGGCTTCTTAAATGAAAATCTCAGCAGAGTATTTGAAGAAAATTATGCTATTAGTAATATTAATGGTATATTATTATGATTGGAAAGCATGCTAACAGGGGTGTTCTTTTTCTTTTTTTTCTAAATATTTATTTATTTATTTATTTGAAAGGCAGAGTTACAGAGAGGCAGAGGTAGAGGCAGGGTTGGGGGGGGAGGTTCCTCCATCTGCTGGCCTACTCCCCAGATGGCAGCAATGGCCAGAGCTGTGCTGATGTGAAGCCAAGAGCTTCTTCCCAGTCTCCCACACAGGTACAGGGGCCCAAGGACTTGGGCCATCCTCCACTGCCCCTCCACAACAGAGAGCTGAATTGGAAGTGGAACAGCTGGGACTAGAACTGGTGCCCATATGGGATGCCGGCACTGTAGGTAGAGGCTTCACTCGCTAGGCCACAGCATCGGCCTCTGGGTGTTCGTTTTTGTTTGTTTGTTTTTTGACAGAGTATAGAGAAAGATCTAATCTGTTCATTCATTTCCCCCAAGTGCCCTTAAGAGCTGGGGATGGGCCAGGTCTGAGCAAGGAGAAAGAAATTCAATCCAGGTCTCCCATGTGGGTGGCAAGAACCCAAGAGCTTGAGCCATCACCTGCTACCTCCCAGGTCTGCATTAGCAGGTGGCAGATCAGGCACTGGAGCCCAGGCTCTCCATATTTCTTCCATATCTATCTCCTTTACTAATTAACAAGAACTATCTATGTATTTTTTAAAATATTTTATTTATTTATTTGACAGGTAGAGTTACAGAGAGAGAGAGAGAGACAGACAGACAGAGAGAAAGGTCTTCCTTCCATTGGTTTACTCCCCAAATAGCTGCAACGGCTGGAGCTACACCAATCCGAAGCCAGGAGCCAGGTGCTTCTTCCTGGTCTCCTATGTGGGTACAGGGGCCCAAGCACTTGGGCCATCTTCCACTGCTTTCCCAGGCGACAGCAGAGAGCTGGACTGGAAGAAGAGCAACTGGGACTAGAACTGGCGCCCATATGGGATGCTGGTGCTGCAGGTGGAAGATTAACCTAGTGCACCACGGCGTTGGCCCCTTATCTATGTATTTAAAAAAATTTTTTAATCTACTTATCCAAGTAGAGAGAGAGAAAGACAGCTCCCATCTGCTGGTTCGCTCCCCAAATGCCTCTGATGGCCAGTGCTGAGCAGGGTAGGTGGCCAAAATCAGGAAATGGGAACTCATGTCAGTCAGTAGCTGGAGGTGGTACTGAATCCAAGCAGTCCGAAATGGGGTGCGGGCATCTTAACCCCCTAGGCCAAACAGCCACCCCAACTGGCACCTATGTCTTTTTTTATTTTTTGACAGGCAGAGTGGACAGTGAGAGAGAGGGAGAGACAGAGAGAAAAGTCTTCCATTGCCACTGGTTCACCCCACAATGGCCGCTGCAGCCAGCGCGCTGCAGCAGGCGCACCGCACTGATCCGAAGCCAGGAGCCAGGTGCTTCTCCTGGTCTCCCATGCGGGTGCAGGGCCCAAGGACTTGGGTCACCCTCCACTACACTCCCGGGCCATAGCAGAGAGCTGACCTGGAAGAAGGGCAACCGGGACAGAATCCGACGCCCCGACCAGGGCTAGAACCCGGTGTGCCGGCGCCGCAAGGTGGAGGATTAGCCTAGTGAGCCGCAGCGCCAGCCGGCACCTATGTCTTAAACAAAGGCCTTTAATAAAGAATAAGCACCTGTCTCCTGGCTTCGGAGACACAGGGCACAGCGCCGGCCGTAGCGGCCATTTGGGGAGTGAACCAATGGAAGGAAGAACTTTCTCTCTGTCTCTCTCTCTCACTGTCTGTAACTCTACCTGTAAAATAAAAAAATTAAAAAATAATAATTATTAAATGGGTAGACATTTCAGTCAAGAGTTAAGTTGCTGCTTGGGAGGTTCACATCCCATATAAGAGTGCCTGGTAGAGGTTCCAGATACTCACTTGTGATCCAATTTCCTGAGAATGTACATCCTGGAATACAGCAGACAATACTTGGGTTCTTGCCACCCATGTGGAAGACACAGACCTGGTCTAGCTCTAGCTGTTGCAGATACTTGGGGAGTAAATAAGCAGATGGAAGCTCTCTGTCTCTTTGCCTTTCAAATAAAGTAAAAAAAAAAAAAAAAAGGCTGATCAAATAAGAAAAGGCTGGAATAATAAAGCCAAAGTACTAAATTAAATATCATATTGTTTTTTAAGTGTGCTTTTTCTAAATCAGAATATAACTGGTATATATTACATCATAAATTTCTCTTATATTCTCTGTATTACCTAAACCACCACCAGCTATAAATGTGTCATTTGGGGGAAGGTAGTAGAAGTTTATTGCAAGCAGATGGATACATTTTTATCTACTATATGAGTATACACTAAATCCCACATAATAGTAAAGAAGACTTAGGAATTGAGGATAAGGAGAACAGAAAGCATGACAACCAGCACTGCTACCCACAACTGCTACCACCATCACCATCCTCTTAGAGGAAACATTAAAAAAGCAGCAAGTAAGGTGGGATGGGGAGAAGAAAGTAGCATGGATGTACTACCTAATAGCAAGGAAAAAGATACGCTCAGGATGCTCCACTTCATTTCAACAGCATGTAAAAATGACTTGGGTCTTTTCTATTATCAAAAACAAGTGAGTTCATGTTATCATGGAATAATTTCAAGGCTGTTTGCAGATTTTTCCCACCATCATATCTGAAGTAATCCATTTCAAAACAAACTGTCACAAGTTCATGGGTATACTGTTACATGCTATCCTGTAATTCAACATACAAAACAAACAAATAATTACCAAAGCAAAGAGGAACAGCAAGGGATCTCCAACGTTACATGACTCTTACCTGTTCACTCTCCTAGGACACTTGTCTGGTTTAATATCTACCTCATAGAGGTAGACATCAATCTTTGGGATTTCAACTTGAAAACAGTTAGCCAGCAATTTAATGGGTTTGCCCATGGTGCCATAGCCAGGTCTTCTGGGCACCATGAGTAGGGGCTGGGCCCCAACGGGTCCTGCCAAGGAGAAGAAAAAGAAGAGTCACACTATTACACACTGCATTTGATACCACTTTCAACCACAGTTTGATAGAATTGTAAGTACAGCTGACAATGGTTAAAGCCTATTGCTAAAAGATGACATCTTTCCTAATACTTCAAAAACTTCCTTCACCCCAACTTCCTCTCTTCATTAAGAACATAAACTGTACACTCTAAATTATTCTGAAGGAAGGCCTCTCTCTCTCTCTCTGTAACTCTGCCCCCCACCTTTTTTTGGGGGGGAAAAAAAGAAAGATTTATTTATTTGAAAGTCAGAGTGACACAGACAGAGGAGAGGCAGAGAGAGAGAGAAGTCTTCCATCTGCTGGTTCACTCCCCAATTGGCCACAATAGCCAGAGCTGCGCCAATCCAAAGCCAGGAGCCAGAAGCTTCTTCCGGGTCTCCCATGTGGGTGCAGGGGCCCAAGGACTTGGGCCATCCTCTGCTGCTTTCCGAGGACACAGCAGAGAGCTGGATTGGAAGAAGAGCAGCTGGGACTAGAACCAGTGCCCATACGGGATGTCGGCGCCGCAGACGGAGGATTAACCTACTGCGCCACAGCATCAGCTCCAACAGTATAGTTTCAGTTTTGCAAAATTAAAGGAGTTCTAGAGATTGGTTGAGCAGCTATGTAGATATACTTAGCAAAACTGAACTGTACCCTTAAAAATAATTAAGGAGCTGTGGCGTAGCGGGTAAAGCCTCCGCCTACAGTGCCGGCATCCCATATGGGCGCCAGTTCGAGTGCCTGCTGCTCCACCTCTGATCCAGCTCTCTGCTATGGCCTAGGAAAGCAGTACAAGATGGCCCAAATCCTTGGGTCCCTGCACCCATGTGGGAGACCTGGAGGAAGCTCCTGGCTCCTGGCTTCAGATTGGCACAGTTCCGGCCGTTGCGACCAATTGGGGAGTGAACCATCGGATGGAAGACCTCTCCCTCTCTCTCTACCTCTCCTTCTCTCTCTGTGTAACTCTGATTTTCAAATAAATAAATAAATATTTAATTAAAAAATAATAATTAAGGAGCCAGCATTGTGGACAGCGGATAAATCTGCCATCTGCACTGACATCCCATATGGGTACCAGTTTGTATCGAACCTGCTCCTCTTCTGATCCTTCTCCCTGCTAATGGCCTGGGAAAAGCAGCAGAAGATGGCCCAAGTGCTTGGGCCCCTGCCACTCATGTGAAAGATTTGGAAGAAGCTCCCGGTTCCTGGCTTTGGCCTGGCCCAGCAGTAGCTGTTGTGGTCATCCAGGGAGTGAACCAGTGGATGGATGAAATCTCTCTCTCTCACCATTTCTCACTCTTTCTCTCATCTCTTTCAAATAAAATAAATATTTTTTTTAAAAAGTTGTTACATCTTTTTTTTTTTGTAAAGATTTTCTGTATTTATTTGAGAGGCAGAGTTACAGAGAGAGGGAGAGACAGAGAGAAAGGTCTCTATCCACTGGTTCACTCCCCAAATGGCTGCAACAATACAAATCCATGAGTTTCTGCAGGGTCTCTCACATGGGTGCAGTGGCCAAGCACTTGGGCCATCTTCTACTGCTTTCCCAGGCCATTAGAGGGGGCTGGATCAGAAGAGGAGCAGACGGGATATGAACCAGCGCCCATATGAGAAGCAGGTAATGCAGGCAGAGACTTAGCCCACTATACCACAGCACAGGACCCTATTACATCTATTTTTAAAATTAATTAATTTAGGGAGGGAGGGAGGTTGGGGGGGGAGCCACAACAATACAAAAGTTGCACTTTTTTTTTTTTGACAGGCAGAGTGGACAGTGAGAGAGAGAGAGAGAGAGAAAGGTCTTCCTTTGCTGTTGGTTCACTCTCCAATGGCCGCCGCGGCCGGCATGCTGCGGCCGGCGCGCCATGCTGATCTGATGGCAGGAGCCAGGTACTTATCCTGGTCTCCCATGGGGTGCAGGGCCCAAGCACTTGGGCCATCCTCCACTGCCTTCCCGCGCCACAGCAGAGAGCTGGCCTGGAAGAGGGGCAACCGGGACAGAATCCAGTGCCCCGACTGGGACTAGAACCTGGTGTGCAGGCGCCACAAGGCGGAGGATTAGCCTAGTGAGCCGCGGCGCTGGTCTACAAAAGTTGCACTTTGTAAATTCACATTCATTAAATTTAAAAAAAATTAATTAATTTAAATGGCAGAGAGAGAAAGAGCGCCACCCACTTGCTGATTTAGTCCCCAAATGCCCACAACAGCCAGGGCTGGGCTAGACCAAAGGTGTGTGAAAGGGAACTCAACACAGGCTGTCCACATGGTTGGCAGGGACCCAGTTGCTAAAGCCATCATCTGCTGCCTCCCAGGAAGCTGGAATGGAGAACAGAGCCAGGACCCAACATAAACTCTCAAACATGGGACATGGGCATCCCAAGAGGTGTCCTAACTGCTAAGCCAAATGCCACCCCTAAATGTTGAATTTAATAGTATACATGCAAGGAGCCTTCAAAAAGCTCATAGAAAATATATATTATGGAAAAAACTATGGCCGGCACTGAGGCTCAGTAGATTAATCCTCCGCCTGCAGTGTCAGCATCCTATATGGGCGCTGCTTCTAGTCCTGCTGCTCCTCCTCTTCCAATCCAGCTCTCTGCTGTGGCCTGGGAAAGCAGTAGAAAATGGCCTAAATGCTTGGGCTCCTGCACCCACATGGGAGACCAGGAAGAAGCACCTGGCTCCTGGCCTGGGGTCTGCGCAGCTCCGGCCATTGCGGCCATTTGGAAGAAAGACCTTTCTCTCTGTAACTCTACCTGTCAAATAAATAAAATCTTAAAAAAAAAAAAAAAAACCATTAATGGTTTTCAAATGCTCTTGCACTGAGGTAAATTCATTTTAATTTCATTTCCTCATCAATCTCATCTCAATTTTAAAATCTAAGTGATACCAGCCGCTGCCACGGCTCAATAGGCTAATCCTCCGCCTTGCGGCGCAGGCACACCGGGTTCTAGTCCCGGTCAGGGCGCCGGATTCTGTCCTGGTTGCCCCTCTTCCAGGCCAGCTCTCTGTTGTGGCCCGGGAAGGCAGTGGAGGATGGCCCAAGTGCTTGGGCCCTGCACCCCATGGGAGACCAGGAGAAGCACCTGGCTCCTGCCTTCGGATCAGCGCGGTGCACCGGCCGCAGCGCGCCAGCCGTGGCGGCCATTGGAGGGTGAACCAACTGCAAAAGGAAGACCTTTCTCTCTCTCTCTCTCTCACTGTCCACTCTGCCTGTCAAAAAAGAAAAAAAGAAAAGAGAGAGACAGAGAGAGAATCTTCCATCTGCTGGTTCACTCCTTGGATGGCCACAAAGCCAGGGCTTCATCTGGGTCTCCCAGGTGAGTGGTAGGTACCCAAACGCTTGAGCAGTCTTCCACTGCTTTTCCCAGGCCATTTGCTGAGAGCTGGATCAGAAGTGAAGTAGCTGGGACATGACATGAACTGGCACCCACTTGGGATGCCAGCATAACAGATGGCTTTACCCACTAAGCCACAACACCACTAAGCCACAACACTGGCCTTACCACTAAATTTTTATGCCCCAAAATGTAGTTTTGTTAATCAAATGATAAGTGCAGTTAATAAGTACCTACTACCTGAATAAACTAAAAATTACATTTGAAAAAATCTGAAAAATTTGACAATTTGAAAAACATTAAATCTGTAAACATTTATTTAAGAAAAAATAATTTGATACAACTTCTTCCAAAAAATTAAATTTCTGATGCCAGAAAAATTCTGATCCTAAAACATAACAAAAATTATGAAAAAGGAAAATCACACATCAACCTCATGGAAGAACATGCAAAAACTCTAACAAACTTTAAGAAAATTAATTCCATCATATATCAAAAAGATGAGTTAATATCACAAGTAAAAAAGTTAGGTTAACAACAACTATTTATACAATATGGATAAAATGTATTAAAGTACTGCCAGAATTATTGGTTTTTAAATTTTGTTCCAATTATTTATAAAAATCTCTTAGAGCATATTTCTTGCTAAACCAATCTGTAGGTAATACTGTAGAAATTCTAGACCAGGCCATATTTCATTTTTTTTTAATTTTTTAAAAAAATTTTTTTGATAGGCAGAGTGGACAGTGAGAGAGACAGAGACAAAGGTCTTCCTTTTGCCGTTGGTTCACCCTCCAATGGCCGCCGTGGCTGGCGTGCTCAGCCGGCGCACCACACTGATCTGATGGCAGGAGCCAGGTGCTTCTCCTGGTCTCCCATGGGGTGCAGGGCCCAAGCACTTGGGCCATCCTTCACTGCACTCCTGGGCCACAGCAGAGAGCTGGCGTGGAAGAGGAGCAACCGGGACAGAATCCGACGCCCCGCCCGGGACTAGAACCCAGTGTGCCGATGCTGCAAGGTGGAGGATTAGCCTACTGAGCCGCGGCAATGGCCAATATTTCATTTTTTCTAAAGATTTATTTATTTATTTATTTGAAAGGCAGAGCTACTGAGAGGGAGAGACAGAGAGAGAGAGAGATCTTCAATCTGCTGGTTCACTCCCCAAATGGCACGACAAGCAGGACTAGGCCAGGCCAAAGCCAGGAGCCAGGAGCTCCATCCAGGTCTCCCAGAGGGTACAGCAACCCAGGGACTTGGGCCTACTTCTGCTGCTTTCCCAGGCACATTAGCACAGAGCTGGATTGGAAGTAGAGCAGCCAGGACTTGAACCAGCACCTATATAGGATGCCAGCGTTGCAGGCGGTGGCTTAACCTGTCATGCCACAAAGCTGGCCCTATGGACTAGTCCATATTTCTGACTGTCATTCATCTAAGCATTTGACCTTCACTGAATGTTTAAAGTCCCTAAATCTCCAAATCTAGAAAATGGTAAAAAGATCAGACCTGCCTCATTCTTATGAATCTTATCAGGATCAAAGTGGATAATGTATAATAGACAAAATTTATCAAGCTCTTACCATGTCTTGGGCAATATGCTAAGTGCTTTATATCTGTTATCTTATCGACAAAT